GAAGCATGAATGAGATGTTTCCTCTGAGTTGACCCTCCTCTTTGTAGGCTGGACACTGGTTCAAGTCCATCTCATGGGGTCTCCATGCTCTCCCTGAACAAGAGGACAGGTGACTCACCACAGTTAGAGGACATTTTGAGAGATGTTCCATAGTCCTCTGGAACTTAGTTGACCTTGGATGGCAAGGGGAAAAAACTGTCCTTTATGTCCCTCTGATCAAATTAGTATAGGCCTCAAAGTATGTCTGTTAAACATTCAAGAAGGTTAATTCCACCAGCCTGGTACTTTCATTTACCATGTGCCATGTAGGTAAAGCTTGGGCAAAGACCAATTGTTCTCAGACAAACCTTGCCTAGACATATGTTTCTTGATCTGGTATGTATAATTTGTCAGTAGGTTGTAGGAGTAATATGGTTCCCTCTGGTTTTTAAAACTAGCTAAGCATTATTTATCTCTCACATTGTCTAACTGTTCCATCATGGTTTCCCCAAGTAAGGTGCCCCCATTTTCCCCATTTCTCCCTTAATAATACCCTTCTTCTATGGTCCTACCTCTCTTGAGCTCCTTCTTTCCCTTTATCCTCTAGTTTCTTTTGCTTCATGATTGTGGAGGTTTTCATGCATGTTATTTGGTTGTCTTGTTTCTAGGCCTGTGGTAAGAGCATCATGACAGAAGTTCTGTGCAGAGGCTAGAAACAAGTTGTACCTTTCTAAGACATGCCAGAGTGACCTACTTGCCATGGCTAGATCCCACCTCCTAGTAGGCCATTCATCCATGAGCTCATATGAATTTAATGCATTGCTGGGGTTAGTACCTGTTATGGTTTGAAGATGATCTCTTCCCTAGTCTCATGTGTTAAATAATAGGTCTTGAGCTGGTGGCACTATTTTGGGAGACCCCAGAGATGTTGGGAGGTAGGGACCAGCTGGAAGAAGCTGGGGATAGGCCCTTACCTATGGATTCTTGGGAGTACCTTGTCCCTGGCCCTTTTCTCCTTATTTCCTGTCCACCATGAAGTTAGCAGCCTCTGTCAATACTCCCAATACCATGACATGCTGCCTCACTATGGGCCCCGAACCAACAGAGCCAAGTGACTATGGAACGAACTCTGAAATCTTGAAAAAAGCCATTCTTCCCATAAGCTGTTTTCTCATGTGTTTGATTACAGCAATAATAAAGTGACTCATACCACACTCTAAAGATACAGCTCTTCTAGGTGGTGTCACCAGCTAGGGAATTTGTCATTCAGCACATGGGTCCTTGGGGACATTCTAGTCCAAATGACAATATCAATACATAATCGCATGTTATACTGTATCACTCTAATACAGTAGTGTACAGACAGATAAAAAATTTTTAAATCTCTGCCTACATGGAGTTTATTTTATTGTGAGGTCAGAGAGATCATGAACAAAGAATTAAGATACATGGCATGTCAGATGAAAGGACTATGAAGAGGACTTAGCAAAAGGAGGGAGGGAGAGGAGGATTGGTTTGCAGTAGAAATCAGGTGGTGATAGAAACCTAGTCGTTGCACACAACTGTCCACTGCCCGAAAGGAAAGCTTATGTGCAAAATGCTGTTCCCTGTGGTTGACTTGCCTTATTTAGAGAGTCTAGTGTTTGAAAGCAGTAGCACCTCAGGGTGTAGTTTATATACAAGCGCTGACTGGACTTAATGAGGCTATTTATTCACTGTCGGGCTAGCTCTCCTCACATTCTTTTCTTTTAACTGGCTCTGTGGTAATTGTGTATCAGTAGTCTAGATTTTTCTGTTGGTATTAAACTCTAAATCATACAAATATTAATAACACCTAGTTCACTGGTACATTATTTATAAGGAAATCAATTGTGGTGGTTTGAATGAGGACTATCTCCCCTGGGGCTCCAAGTATTTGAGCACTTGTCAATTGGTGGCCCTGTTTGGGGATGGTCATGGAGTTTCTAGGAGGTGTGACCTTGCTGGAGGAAGCCTGTCACTGGGGGCAGGCTTTGAGAGTTCATAGCCTTGCCCACCTCCAGTTTGTACTCTCTGTCTGTCTGTCTGTCTCTCTCTGTCTGTCTGTCTGTCTCTGTCTCTGTCTCTCTGTCTCTGTCTCTCTCTCTCTCTCTCTCTCTCTCTCTCTCTCTCTCTCTGCTTCCTGTGCCTTCTTGAAGATGGGAGTGCTCAGCTTTCTGCTCCGGATACCTCCTGCTATGCCTCCCCATCATGATGGACTCTTATCTCTCTGGAACCTGTAAGCCCAAATAAATATTTCCTTCTATTAAGTTGCCTTGGTCTTGGTGTTTTAGCACAGCAACAGGAAAGTAACTGATACATCAATTTAGCTAGTTGTCTTTTTTTTCCCCCAGTATAAGCAATTAAATGCAAGGCCTCACATAGTCTAGGCAAGCATGGTACAACTGAGTTATAGCCCCTCTCCTTTTGTATTTTACATTTTCAGACAGTCACTAAGTTGCCAAGGTTGGCCTTGAACTCACTGTAGGGCAGCTAGGCCTTGAACTTGATCCTCCTGCTTCATCCTTTTTTTTTTTTTAAGATTTTATTTTTAATTATATATATATGTGTGTGGGTATGTGCATGTGAGTGTAGTTGCCCACTGAGGCCAGAAGAGGATGTTGGATCCCTTGGAACTGGAGTTACAGGCAGTTCTAAATCACTCAAGGCACCTTTATCCACTGAGACATCTTGTCACTCTGCCTCAGCCTCTTGAGTAGCTGGGATTCTAGGCCTGAACCACTAGGCCTGTCTTGGTTGTTTTTTATTGCCAGTCATTGAATTTCTGTGGAGTACTAAAAGGTGATAATTTGTTGACTTTAATAAAATGCTACTGATTTCTTAATGTGTGTACTGTCACATTCATAGCTAAGTACCTTTAAAAGGTATCTGAGAGCTGACATCCTAGTTATGTCATATTGTCAATTGCTCTAAGTATTTGTGGTTCTTGTGATTTGGCATCTGTCAGAGCAGAGGTACTTTTGAATCCTATCATTCATATGTATTATTTTATTCTTTGAGAAGAGATTTTATGTCATTTGGAAACAAGTACCATAAATTAGATCCTTCAGCTTGGCTTACCCATTGCTGTACGATGAGATGATGCAATGACCTGACTCTGTGTTTGTCCCAGTGAATTTCCTTAGGGTTGTTTACAGGAGTATAGTTGGGAATTTGTTTACAGCAGCATGTGTACCTTACCAGTAGTGACATCTCTGAACACCAAATAACATCTCACTTTCTCTCTCCACCACCAACAGTAATCTACGTCTAAATCCTCAAGGTGGAATGGGGCCCCACAAGCCCCTTCCCCTTCCGTGACAGACTGTTAACCAGCCCAGTCTGGTGGGAAACCTTGTTCAAGTGATCATAGCTTCTGTGGATTCAAAAATGCAGCAGTCATGTCACAGCCAGAAGTCAGCTTTCAACGCCACACTCCCCACCTCAGCTTCCTCAGACTCACATTTTTTCTGCCTATTCTTCCGGGCTGTTTCCTGAGCCTTGAATGGGATTTAGCAGGACAATTCTTATTCAGATTTCTAAATGCTGGGCTGTTGGCTTAGGACAGGTGAACTCTTTGGTAAAGAGCCAGATAGAGGATATTTTAGGCTTCGAAAGCCACATGTGGTTCATAGGTCAGGTCATGAACCCTGCCATGTGCTTAAAAGCAGAACAGGAAGTGCATAAACAAATGAACATACCTGTGACCCCATAAAACTTTACTCATAGGCACTGAAGTTTCAGTTTCAAATCATAAGCAATACTCTCTTTGTGGTTCTCTCCCTGCAAGTAATAACAATCACTCATAGCTCATGAGCTTATTTTGTGCCTGGCCCTGTTTGTCCTGTGTGTCATACCTTACTGACCTTTGGCATGATGTTTTTAATAATGCATAATTTTTATTTCCATAAGCATTGAGTTCTTACAATGTTTTATGACTTCTGGATGATAAAATCTGTTTGCTGTTGTTTCTGATAGCTGGACTTTGGTTTGATCTAGTTATTTATTTGTATGATTCAGACTTGGTCTATAACCAGAGGTTGTATTTAGAAGATCTTTAAATGAATATTTTGCCTGTATAAAAAGATTTAGTCTATGTAATGCGCTAAGGTTTTCCTAATCAAATCAGCATAGAAGACATTATTATTGACTCCTCGTAGAGTCATTAGCAGATATCTGACTATGGATTCATTTTTTTAAAGGCAGAACAAACATCACTCAAACCACACCTGAGAAATGGTTAAATATATTTGAATAAAGACAAAATAGCATTTTTTGAAAAATTTTCTTTTTTTACCCTTTTGTTCAAAAATTCAGAGGACAGGTGGAGGAAGCTTATAGGTTCACTTGGTCCACTGTGCAAGGTTTGTGTTACGTGGTGGTTTTCATTTCTTTTCATGCATACCTTATGGAAGATTGATATGATCTGAAGCATTAGTCATTTTGACGATGTTTCCAAGGTGACCAGAAGCCTTTGGGAAGTATCCTAAGGGTAGTTGGCAGTGTGAGCATAGGAAGGTTGAATGCAAAAGAAGAAATGTTAACTGTATGGTTTGGAATAATGAGGATTCTTAGAAGTTGTACTTTGAAGGAACAGATGTGTACATATGTGCATACTGCATGCTTATAGAGCTCTTGGCATTTATTTCAGAAGCTTAAACTGCAGAAACAAAATGGAATACATTCTGAAGTGTTGTTAAAAATATATGCCAGGATAATGGTCCCCCATACCCTGAATTTCTGTCTTAATATCAGAGAGCTTTGCAATGTTTCCCTGAATATGCTGTTTACAAACTAATATTCACAGGTCATGATTCTGTTTTTCTTTTTTACCTTGTTTCTCCCCAAAAACATCCTTCACAAATTACTTCATGTCCTGATACTGTTAAGCCCTTGACATTTTTATTTTTGCATTGAAATTCCAAGATATGGAAGGACATTTCACCTTCTTTAGATTAACATTTCTTACATTTTAAATATTAGTCATATATTAATAAGTTGAATCCTTCAAATAAATTTTACCGTATTGTAACCCTTTTAACCCCTTGCTAATTGAAGCATCCTTAAGAGAATTTTTTTCTCCAAAGTGATGATGGTGCAGTTTCTTGGGAGCTCTTTGCACAGATTGAATAGGTGAGGACGTCAAGGAGTTAGCAGTGTAGATATGTTGTGTTGACCATAGGCCTGGCTGGCTGAGGTTGCTGGAGAAGCAGTGACAGGAGACAAATAATGGAAGCACTTAGGTAGCCCAGGAGCAAGCGAGATGAATGCCTGGGACATGACACTGCATGTTCCCACGCAGGCACTGACTCCCTAGAGCTTGCATAGGTGGGGCCTGGCTCACCCTTACTTCCTTAGCATCCAGAATTCCATTGTCAGAATTTATGGGTGTGTACTTTAAATTTTTTATTTATTTTTAATGTTAAAAGACATCCTGTTTTCACTTGAATCTTGTGTAAAACTTTGTGTTCATTGGTACAAAAGCTGAGTTTATTTCAACTCAGACCTCTTAGTCATTTGGACTTTGGTTTATTCCCCAAACAACTTGGCTAGGTTACCCTGTGTGTCATTCACTGGTCCAGTATCTAAGCTGGAGCCCCACTGGCCATGACTGGTGGAGCAGAGGGAAAAATGTTAGCTTTCCAGGGTCTGTCAACCTGTCAGTTCCTTGACAACAAATGTCTTTATTTTCAATTTCATCTAGAAAGCTGTCTAATAACATACTGTATCCTTCTAGGAACCCTATCTTGACCAAGTGTTTATTTCAAAGTGTTTATTTCAAAGGGGAGACTAGATTTATGTATCATAAAATAATAAATTATATACCTGTAACAGAAATTTGTTTATTTTTTTTATTTTTCTTTTTGAAAAGGTAATTGTCACAATCATACTTGCACTGATTATTGGTGCCATTTACTTTGGACTGAAAAATGATAGTGCTGGAATTCAGAATAGGTAAGTAGATGTAGATTGTTTTTTACTTCTGTAGGATAGAAATTAGCATGGATTAGTTCTGCACAAAAGAAGAGGGGCTGGAGAGATGGCTCAGTGGTTAAGAGCATCGACTGCTCTTGCAGAGGACCAGAGTTACCAATTCCCAGCACCCACATGGTGGCTACGAACCGTCCTTAACTCCAGTTCCAGGGGAATCCGAAGCCTTCTTCTGACCTCTGTGGCATTGCATGACACAGGTGCACTTACATACATGTAGGCAATACACTCGAACACACAAAATAAATAATAATAACAATAAAGAAAAGTAGAGAGTTTATTATAAAAAGAGGCGTAGACATCTACTCCAGAGGCAAACCACCGAATTTGAATCTCATTTTTGAGAAAATGCTGTTACTTTCTTCAAGGTTATGAATATTAAGGATTTGAACTTAATACAAGTTCAAGATGACTGTTTCACTGTGGGGTAGGAATGAGTTGGTGAGTTGAAAATTGGTGGTTTTTTTCACACACATGTGTATGTATTGATGCAACTATATAGAACATTAAATATATCCTTTTAAAAATATATTCTTTTAACCAATTTTAAGTATATAGTTAAGAACATTCACACTGTTGTGCAACTATTAGCAACATTCGACTCCAGGTGGATTCTTACTTTCCTCAATGGAGCCACCATACCCATTAAAGTAACTCTTGATGCCCACCTCTCCTAACCTCTCGAAAGCGCCATTCTGCTTTCTGTCTCTAAGTTTGATTACCCTAGCAGCCTCTTATATGTGATATAATAAGTATTTGTCCTTTCATGGCTGCCTTATGTCCCTTGGTATAATGTCTTAATGGCTCATTCATTTTGCAGCATATGTTAGAATTACTTTCCTTTTTTTTTTTTTTTTTCGGTCTTTGGCGTTTTTTTCTTTTAAGACTGGGTCTCCCTTTAGCCTCCTGTGACCTGGAACTCTCTATGTAGACCAGGCTGGCCTTGGACTCACAGAGATCCGTTTGCCTCTGCCTACCAAGTGCTGGGATTAAAGGTATGCACCATCACACCTGGCAGAATTACTTTCCTTTTTAAGGCTGATTTTAATCGTGTGTGTGTGTGTGTGTGTGTGTGTGTGTATACAATCAGTATTTTGTTTATCCAATTATCTGTTCCTGAAAACGTGTGTTATTTCCACCTTTTGGTTATTGAGTAGTGATATGAATCTACAATTATCTTTCTGAATCCCTGCTTTTCAGAGTTGTGTCATTACCTTTTTACCTTCCTTGTAGTATGAGATAACGCAATTATGTCCAAGCTTGCTAGTAGTTGGTGGATTCTGTGGGGACCATTTCTTAACTCGGCATAGCATATATCACAGGACCTAGAGGCTGTTGGCCTTGTGTGTTGTGCAGCATTTGGCAAAAAATGTTGAGAAACCTGTCCTCAACTAGAATTTTAAAGATGACCTGGAAAGCTGTGTAGATATTGGAAAGTCCTGTTTTTTAAAAGATTTTTTTTTTAGCTTAAGAAATATATTTGGATATTGTTCAGCATTAAAGAAGAAACCCTGCCATTTTTAACAGCATGAATGGAATTAGAGAACCATATGCTAAATAGTATCTAAAATAAGCGTGATCTTAGGCAGAAAGACTAGAATAGTGGTAGCCAGAGAGTGAGCAGTGGGGAGAGCGAGGGGATGGTGGTCAAAGGAGGAAAACCTCAGTGTAAAATAAATTAACTTGATTTAACTTAGGAATTCAGCTACTTTCTCATAATCACTGTGGACGTTACTATGAGATGTAAGACAACTGAAATGCATCTTTGCTATGTACTGATTCTACAATTAGTTTTTAATTTGACAGCAGATATATTTCTCTACACAGATATAATTGCTTCTCTACTAGGCCTAGCTATCCACCCCCCATCATGCCCCCGGCACCTTTTTTTTTTTTTTGAGACAGGTTCTCCCCATAGCTCTAGTTGGTGACCTGGAACTCACTATGTAAACCTGGAGATCTGTCTGTCTCTGCCTCAATGCTAGGATTAAAGGTGTGTGCCGCCATAGCCTGTTCATTTTTATTATTAATGTATTTGTACTTAGAGTGGCCTGTGTACTCACTTCATTTTTTTAATATTTTTTTAAAGGTCTGAATTCTTACTTTTAAGTTAGCTGGGGTTGTTCACTTGGGTTCACTTTTTTTTTAATGTTCTCTTGTTTTATGTCATTTAAATTTATTTTTAAAATGTATTTTGGGGGTGGGGTATAAGTGTTTTGCCTGCATGTATGTAAGTGCAGCACCACATGCATTCAGTGCCCATGGAGGCCAGAAGAGGGCATTGGATCCTCTGGAACTGGAGTTACAGACAGTTGTTTGCCTCCATGTGGGTGCTGGGAGCAAACCTGGGTCCTTTGGAAGAGCAGCCAGTGTTCTTAACTGCAGAGCCATCCCTCCAGCCCCATTTTATATCATTTAAATAATGTACCATGTTGTTCCTTTTCAACATCAACTCTCATCCTCCTTGTTAGTTAAATTGTTTGGCAATGAAGAGAAGCCCATTCCTGTTTCAAGGATGTTTAGTGTGCTTTTATCCATATATCTTTCAAAGTATAGACTGGCTAAGCACTTTCCTTTTTAAATCTCAATTATTTTATTGAGAAAAAAACATTAACTCTCATCTAGGTGCACAAGTTAATTTTTATTGTAAGTAAGAATCAACTGATTTTCTTTTTTGAGTACTTTGGAAACCATGTAGGAAGTGGGTTGACCTTATTAGTATGACTATCAAGGCATTGCTGACAGGTGTATAGTAGGTGTCTGTGATAAGCTGAGTGAGGATTCCTTCCAGTGTCTTGCAGTGTCTTTCCATATGTCTTACTATATTCTTGAATATTTTAACCCCATTGAGCTTTATTTGACTTACTCTTTTTCTTTTTACACTTTAGAAACAATAGCTGGCACCTTTGTTAGTTAAATTCAAAGGGACAATATTTTATGACCTATATGTTAGCCTGGGGTGCCATGACTAATACTGTAGACTGTGTAGCTTAAGCAACATTTTATTTTGTCAGAACTCTGAAGTCAGAATTGCTTCCTAGCAGAATCAGGCTGGCTGTTGATGCCTTCTCACTGTATCTTTTGAGGCAGGGACTACTCTGCTGTTTCTCCTCTTTTGAAGGCACTAATCTCATCATGGGGGCTCCACTCTCATGTCCATCCTTTTGACACTGAAACACAAGGTTGTCATCTACCCAGTCACATTCAAGAATTGTGCAGTTGAATTACAAAAAAGAAAAAAAAAATCACAAAAATCTCATAGTTTTGAGTATAGTTAGTTCTATGCTAGGTTGTGTCCTAGTTTCATTTCTGTTGCTGTGATAAAATACCCTGACTGGAAAGCAACTTAAGGGAGAAGGAGGTTATTTCAGCTTACAATTCCAGGTTACAGTCATTATTGTGGGGAGGTCAAGGCAGAAAGTTGAAGCATCACACCCACAGTCAGGAGCAGAGAGAAACTAAATGTGGGATCCTTGCTTGCTACCTAGTACTCAGCTAGCTTTCCCTTAAACAGCCCAGCGCCCCACCCATTAAATGGTGCGGCCCACATTCAGGGTGTCTTCTCACCTCAGTTAACAATCAAGATAATCCACAGGCAACCTGATCTAGATAATTCCTCCTTAAGACTCTTTCCAGGGGCTTCTAGGTTGTGTCAAGCTGGTAGTTAAAACTAGCCAGCACAGGCTGCATCCATAGCTATCTCTGTTGTATTGAGGCTGCAAGTTAACATGCCTGGAAGGACCCACCTCCCATCACATTAGGGGGTCATTTGCTTCAACTTGAATTTTAGGGGAACACAATTCAGTTCACAGCAAACTAAGACCATGGATTTCAGTACAGCTCTAACCTGGAGTCACATAGTCATCATTGTGGAGACACAGACAGGGGAGAGACCTGATGGGTTATGCTTCTTTGGGTGCATGTGTGTATACATACCTCCATGCACGAATGCCACTGTGTGGAGGCCAGAGGACAGCTTGCAGGAATCAGTTCTTTCCTACCGTGTTGGTTGTGGGGATCGAACTCATGTTGTCTGTACCTACTGAGCCATCCTACCCAGCCCCCTGTCTGCTAACCAGAACGATTCTGCTTTCTTAAAGCTTTTATATCGTTTGTAGAATGGATAGAAAACTGACCTGAACATGCTAATTGACTGTGGTACTTCTGTTTCCATTCTTTCCTGGCAGAGCTGGAGTGCTCTTTTTCCTGACCACCAACCAGTGTTTCAGCAGTGTGTCAGCTGTGGAACTCTTTGTAGTGGAGAAGAAACTCTTTATGTGAGTAGTCACTATTCTGGGAGGGGAAGCATGGCTATGTGTCAAACTGATCACATCCAGTATTGAGCCAAAATACTATCACAGGACTACAAATATCTTATTTGTTTAATTGAAAAATATAAATTGCATATGTATATATAATAAACAAAATGATTACCAGTATTGATTAAGAAAAGGAAGTCAAAGGCAGGGTGGAAAGTCAAGAGCACGTGGCACCTGCTAGCCAGATGAAGGAGAGCTTTATGTTTGTGGTGTGCTTAACAAGTCTCAGTGCTGCAAGAGAGAACAGCAGCCACGGGGCTGGAAAGTATCTTGTTTTAGTAAATGACAGGTTTAAGAACCTGGGCAAAGGAAGCTTGAGGGGGCTTGAGAATGATTAGGTGGTGCGTTCAACAGCAACTCAAAGGGGTAAGGTCAGGATGCCAGAGAGCGAGAGTGAGTTTAGTCCCCAGGGCCTGGAGGAGTGGAAAGAGCCAGAGGACAGCTTCGCAGTAGAACTGGCTGTTTTGTCTCCTGTGTTTTTCAAAGATGGAAGAGATTTGCTACCTTTATGCACTGAGGAAGGAAATCACCAGAGAGAGAAAGAATGAAGATACTAGTGGGGAAGTTTGGACTGACTAGAGGAAGATGTCAGGAAGAGGAAGGTGTAGAAGCTGATAGCTGGCAGGGCTGTAAGGTTGTGAGGTGTGACTACTGAAGGAAGAAGTCTTGCAGTCTTTAAGAAGTGAGAGCAACAAAAGTTACAGGAGCCCGTGATCTGGAGCAGCATGGGGGCCGGGGAGATCAACAGCTTCATCTTCTTCATAGCAAGGGGAGAAAAGCCTATGTGACCACTGAGGTGAACTCCTATGGTGCTGTTCTCTAGGGAGAGCCAGTATCAGAGAAGCAGTGTCTGAGGAGAGTGAGGACACACTGTTTCTCTGGAGAGGGGCACTCTGAGACCAGAATGGACAGCAGTGCAAGGAAGTTCTGATGAGAGAGAGTCCTAGTGAGCGCTTCCTGAGGCTGACAGCGCAGGAAGGCTGGCACCCAAGGTGGCAAAGGGGAGGGGCATCAGCCTGGAGCATGTGGGACCCTGCCTTGTTAGACCTCTGGTGGCAGCAGAAGTCTGTGTAGCAGACACCCCATCTTCTGGTTTTGCCTTCTAGATTAACCTAGATAAATGCCGTGTTTTTTTTTTTTTATAGACACGAGTATATCAGTGGATATTACAGAGTATCATCTTATTTCTTTGGAAAGCTGCTGTCTGATTTACTACCCATGAGGATGTTGCCAAGTATTATATTTACTTGTATACTGTATTTCATGTTAGGTAAGTAAGAAGACAAAATGAGTGTGCCTTTAGTCTTGGAGGTGGAGTGAAGCTAAATTCTCTGTATATTTTTGTTTCTTTTTCTTTGTCTCTATACAGAGATCTAAAACATTAATGAGTATACTACCTGTTCTCTACTGAGAGAAAGATGTTGACTTTGAGAGATTATTTACTAAAAATATTCACTTGACAGATGTAGACAGATTCATTTTTATATTATGTCTAGGTGTCACCTTAGGCTCACTGCATCAAATCTCCATCTGTTTCACTGATACATGCACATATGCATAGACACCAGTAATACCTACGTTTGACAATCTCTGTAGGATAAGAACCACTGACTGAATTTAAACCTTCCATTTAATATATAAGAGGTATGTGGATATATATAAAGACTATGACATGGAATCTAGACCCTTCAATTCCTGCAGCTGTTTCAAAATCATCAGACTGTATGACACATAGAATTAACTCACTGTAGTTTATAAATTAGTTTAAGAAATGTAGCCCCATTTTCCATCTGAGAATTATATAATAGTGTGCCTGGGGAGACATAGGTTGTAGAAGCCGCCACCCTTCCCCCAGGTAGTAAACCACTGTGAGGTCATTGTTCGCTAATGCAGTTACAGAAAACCTTGAGTGATGTGGAGATGTCTGGGAAAATGAATGTTTTCTATTGGTGAGTTTCCTGTGAGAAGACAGTAGAATTTTGGCCAATTATGTGCCTGAAGTGCTCCATCTTAGGATCTCACAAATTGCTCTAATCATACCTAAAGAAATCCATGTGTTATATGGAAAAGAAAACAGTATAGCTTGACGCAGTTACATGGAGGACAACAGTGCGGTTGGTGACCCAGAATAGTTAGATAGTGGGTGACTTTTTCATTAATTCTGATATCAATCTCTCAGAATGTTACAGTGTTATTTGTGCAGTGAATAACTCAAGTACAGTCCCCTAGGCAGCCGGACTGACTCCTTCTTCTCTTTATAAGGATTGAAACCAGAGGTGGGGGCATTCTTCATCATGATGTTCACCCTTATGATGGTGGCTTACACAGCCAGTTCCATGGCACTGGCCATAGCTGCAGGCCAGAGTGTCGTGTCCGTAGCAACACTTCTCATGACCATCTCTTTTGTGTTTATGATGGTGAGTATGAAGGATGCATCAGTGAGAAGGAATTTCTTGCCTTGTTCTGTCCGTACATTCACCTGTTGTATAAAACCTGCTTTGAGGACTCTGTACGTGGGACTGTGGTACTTTCAGAAGGCCATATGCTGAGATAATGTTAATATTAGCAAAGGTACTGGTTTTCCTCCTAACCCTTATCAAGTCTTTTATATTGCTATTTAATGTAGTTACTGTAATCTGCTAACATGCCCTTAGAAGTCAACTTTAAATGGTAGATTTTACCCAGCTGTGGTAGTGTATGTCTGTAATTCCAGCACTCAGGAGGATCACTGTGCATTGAGGGCCAGCCTGGCTATGTAGTGAAACCCCAAAGAAATGGAAGAAAAGACTTTTTAGTGACATGTTATAAAACCTTGATAAACAGAGCTTAAAAAATCAGAAGAACCACTGGGTGACTCCCTCATAAAAATGCAGGTTATATGCCCGCCTTTCATACTGCCTGCTCTTTAATCACCTCAGGGATGGTTTGGCTGGGTCCCTACGCTCCAAAGGGGAAGTGTAGAGAATCTATCTTGGGTCTGTCTTATAAAAAATGCTGGAAATAAAAAGGCCAGTACATGTCCATAATTCCAGCAGTTGGGAGATAGAAGCAAGAAGGGTAAGGAGTTCAAGGTCATCTTTAGCTACCATAGTAAGTGTGAGGCCAGCTGGACTACCTGAAACCCTGCCGAAAAGTTTAAAAAGCTAGAAAACTTCAAAGTTCACAGTAGTATCACCCGCCTCCTTTCTAGGCTCCTGACTGTGTCTTCTGTCAATAGATACCTGCTTAGCTTTCTGATTAACAGTTACTTAGTCCCAATCCTGTATATTTCTCAGTGTCGCACTCATGTGGTTCCATTCAGAGGAACAGAAGCAGTTTCAGTGTTTTTCCCACTACATCATTAAATGGGAATGACTAGTGCACTGATGCACATGCCCCCACCCCCCGTTGTTTTTTTTTTGTTTTGTTTTGTTTTTTGCTAGAGTAGTGTGTCTTTCAGTTGTGCATAATTAGCTTAAGTCTTGCTAAAGTTTAGTTCTTTCACTTCTGAATTTGGAAACTACCAATGTATATATTATTTAGAAAATGATAATCTTGGTTTATGTCCTCATCCAATAAATAAAATCTTTCAATGAGTAAATTTTTTTGTTTAACTGATGTTTGGACTGATAACTACATAAAGCAGGATTTCCCTCAGAGATATTATATAATTAGCACTTGGTTAACTCCAGTTTAAGCATGCACACGCACATCAGCAGCGTGTCATCATCTTGTTCTCTTAATGAGGGTGTCACAGCCCTTGGAGCTGGAGTTACTGCCAGTTGTGAGTCACGTGATGTGGGTGCTGAGAACCACTCTGATCCTTTGCAGGAGCAGTAGGCACTCTTTACTGCTGAGCCATGTCCTATCCATGGGTAGGCTTAAGTGGAGGTACTGACCCTCTTTTCTGTTGTACCTAACCACATCATGCTCTTTATCAGTTTTGGGGTTACTTTAAGCCTACATTCTGAACCCAGAATTATTCCTAAAGTCAGGGCTGTGGAATGCAAATCTTTGTAAATGACAAATCTTGTTATATGGGTATAGAGCAACCCATGCTGCTCAGAATTGTTCTGGTATGCTCCTATATTGCCAGGATTATTTAGGGGAGCACTTATGGATGGTATAATTACAATCATCAGTCCAATCTGCCTTCCATGTCCATATCCAAAAGTTCATCAGAGAAAAACATTCTGTATGTACTTTTCTTGTGTGTGTGCATGTTACTATTCCTCCTGTCATTATTCCTTAAAGAATAGCGTATAACCCAGGAATAGTGGCACATGCCTATAATCCTAGTATTTAGGAGGCAGAGGCAGAGGCAAGAGGATTGCTGTAAGTCTGAGGCCAACTTGGTCACTATAGGAAATTCCAGGTCAGCCAGGGCTACATGGGAGACCCTTCTCATTTATTCTTAAATAAATAAACAATACAGTGTAACAACTCTTCAGCATTTATATTTTATCAGATGCTCTAAGCACTCTGGAGAAGTCTAAACATTAGGGATATGTGTTTGTAAAGTGTAAAGCTTTTTTGTAGGTTATATGAAAGTGCTGTGCCATTTTAAAGATAGTAGAGACTTGTGCATCTGCAGAATTTAGTATGTGTATTGGGGGCCTGGAACCAAACTGTGCCCATTGGAGATCAGGGGATGATTGTATCTCTTCATCTTCCTTTATAGTTACAGAGAAAGTTGAAGACATAGTCTTGACCATAAAGAATATGCAAATAAGTTGAATATATAATATTGGTTATAGGTATATTGTTCTTCCTTTAAGGCCATAAATAGCCTTAACTATGCAGAAGTGTGTCCGTGTCAAGAATATGATTAGTAAGTAGAGTAACTGAAAGGTTTTCATAAAGCCTTGGCCTTAGCAGAAATGTTTAACAGGTTGTAGGGTATATATGGGAGAGGTATTTTGTTTTGTTTTGTTTTTGAGATAGAGTTGTGCTATGTAGCCTTGAATTCATGATCCCTTTGCCTCCACCTCCCTAATAGTTTGGTTATGGGCAGGCACCATCGTGTGCATTTGCTTGTGTGGGTCTTGAAGGGGGTTTTGTCTAGAGTTCTTTATGAAATCACTGGATGGATTTTAATTTAGTTTTTCATCTTACAGATTTTTTCTGGCCTTTTGGTGAATCTTACAACCATTGAGCCTTGGTTGTCCTGGCTTCAGTACTTTAGCATTCCTCGATATGGCTTCACGGTAAGGTGCCCTCACCTGTCAGTGTGGCTGGGTTCCCAAAATAGAAACAACGGAATGAATGCTAACCATGTCATTTCCTCAGCCATGAATGTGAGCCTCTCCCATCCTGGTCTCCTTTCAGGAGCAGTGGATGCTAATTTCCTATTATTAGCCTTTTTTAGTTCAGGGTCAGGGAGTCATCTGGCGTTTTCCACAGTCACCTCGTTGTTGGAGGGAGATGAAAGGTGGGAGAAATCTCATTGTGAACGGGAGAGATTGACTGATGGAAAATATTTTGTTTCTTTTTGCTAAGGAAGTAAATGAGAGGATGAGTATAATACGTAGTTTTATGTTGAAAGGGAAATCCTAAAAGAAAAGATTATAAGACTCAGCAGCCATATTGATTCTAGCATGATAATCAGGTAAAGAAAGCAGTTTGTGTCTTTTTTTAAAAATAATAATTTTAGTGATTCTTTGAGAATTTCGTATCGTGTTTGGTTATATTCAACCCCCCTCTCCCATCTCCTCCAAGATTCACCACACACACACACACACACACACACACACACACACACACACACACTTTGTATCCTTTGTTTTTTAAAATCTATCAAGCCTAATTTTTGTGCTCCCCAAATACTCTTGGATGTGGGCCCATGCCATGGAGTGTGGTTAACCTGCCCAGCATCACACCCTTAAAGAAAACTGGCTCTCCCTCTCCCAGCAACTCTGTGTCTTAATATAGCAAATGCACATTTCTGACTCCTAGAATTATAACTGGTTTTTATGAAAACAAAAAATCAAGAAAAGATTATTACTATAAATCAACAATATCCATTGCACTATTGTATCATTTTAATTATAGATTTTATGGGTTATAAAATTGAGGTGAGGGAGCTCTGGGGCAGTCAGGAGTCTTCCTTTTGGCCAATTGGGGGCAACTTCCTATCCATAAATTTCTTGATTGCCAGGGAGAAAAACTTAAGCTGTATTAAAAAAAATACAAAAAACAAAACAAGGACTGTGAATATGAAGCTTGGTATGCTTTTAGAGATAGCAGCAAAGCTTAAATTTGTGTATATAATTGTTATAATTCTTTGGAAACTTTTTGAACTTTGAAACTATTGACCTTGCTCTATCTTGTGTTTCAGGCTTTGCGATATAATGAATTTTTGGGACAAAACTTCTGTCCGGAATACAATATAACAACAGTCAACAGTACCTGTGTTAACACCAATGCAATGTAAATTTGGATTCAGTCTCTCAATGGATTTGCTTCTTACTGTAGTATGATGTGAAAAGGGGCTGCTGGGCTTAGAGGTGGTGAATCCTTTTACAGCCCACAAACTTGAGCCCTAATTTTCCAATCTGTAAAGTGAGCTGTCATACACTAATGCATGTGACATGATATACAGCTCCCGCATTCTGCTATAGCCAAGTATTTAATGTGAAAAAAACTGTTTCCTCTGTGTTGATTGTTTGGGGGCTTTTAAAAGATTCTTTTGATTTTTTTGTGTGTGAGCTTGAATTCTTATTTTTGATCACTGTTTTGATAGTTTAAAAGGGACTTGTGGTCTCTGAACATAAATTATATGACTGCTTGTGGCATTAGTGTAAGCACTAAAGGGAGTATAGTTTCAAAGAGGAGCGGGGCACAGTGCCACACGCCTGTAGTCCCATCAGGAGGTAGATGCAGTAGATCTCTGTGAGTTGGAGGCCAGCCTGGGCTATGTAGTGAGACCATGTTTAAAAAAAAAAAAAAAAAAAAACAGAAAACATCAGTGACAGAGTGAATATTGCTCACCAGAACGCTCTGCCTAATGCTTTTGAGAACAAATCATAGGCTGTTGTGTGTGTGTGTGTGTGTGTGTGTGTGTGTGTGTGTGTGTGTGTGCACAAATGTGTGCGTGTGCATGTGTGTGTGTGTGTGTGTTTGAACTGAATTGAAACACTCCATTTATGAAAAATGAGGAAATTTCATTTTTGCATAAGATAATTAAAATATAAATTCAGGTTCAAATACAATTAGATTACCTTGTTTTAAAATGTTAATGTTTTTCTATGATTGTTGTTAATGGTTTGATTTTTGATACAGACACTAATGAAAGAAAAGAATGCTCGTGTCTCCTAGATGTTCAGTTATAAAAATAATTGTTAGTAACAGGATGATTTCCTATTTTGAGTTGTTGACAGGGAGGTTTTCTCTTCAGAGGTTTCCTCTGCCCTGCCCACTCCCTTTTGGTTTGATCTGGATGTGGTATTTTTGAAACACAGGCACCGCCAGCTTGCTGGCCAGGAAGAAGTGGACAGGAAAAGTGGGACCAGATAAGGAGAAGCCATGGCAGGCTTCATACTCATGCAAGGTTCATTCTCACAAGAGAAAGAAGAGGCCATAGCTGTTTTGGAACTGTTAACTCCCAACAGAAGCACAGGAATAGTGGTAGACAATAATTGTGGTTGCACCACATAGTTTTAGCCCTGGGTACTTTTCTGATCTGTGCAGGGTTACCCCATACTGCTCTGCTTCAGTTGCTACCTAAAGTTTTACCTGGTACCTCGGCAGCCAGTGATGTCCTGTGTCTGAGCATCTGTGATGCTCTTGTCATGGGGTGAGAGCTGACAGACCCTTGCTGGAAGCAAGACCTTGCTCTCTGTTCCGAATATTCCGAGCCCATGTTCCTTCTGTAGCTATCTTGGAAGTGAGAAGAGCTGCAAAGAGAACACTGAGCTTGTCATGGCAAAGCTGAGGGATCACCTACCGAGGAAATGAAAAGTTGCTTGATGAAGGTTTCTAACTCTGAAAAAAAAAAAAAAAAAAACAGCATTGTAGATTTTGAAGGCTGAAAACGTGTTCAGAGTGAGACTTTGTTAACTTGGCCAAATTTGTTTAAACCTGCTTCCTCTCCTCTTTTAAATGTAATGTTATACTCTTTTTAGATTGTTTTAAGGATTAACTAGCTTAATGGGTTAAAGTTGTTTAATATAGTATCTAGTATATTAGAAGGGAAAGTATTGATTTGGCTAAGTAAGTTCCTTTAACAAAGAAATACTGACTATATTGAGTAATATTTGACAGATTCTAAGAATGAAGTTACTCATTTCTGTGTTTTTAATTTCAGGTGTACTGGTGAGGAGTACTTGAATAGCCAGGGCATCGACCCATCGTCACCTTGGGAACTATGGAAGAATCATGTGGCACTGGCTTGTATGATCATTATCTTCCTCACAATTGCTTACCTAAAATTGTTATTCCTTAAAAAACATTCCTAAATTCCCCCTTTAACTTACTATGAGTTACATTCCCATTAAATAATGGCACTTTGATTTAAGTATCCAGCGGATTTTTTTTGTCTTCACAGATATCTTGATAAATTGAATTATACATGAAAAAAACTCAAGCCAGAAAACTGACACCAACTATGGACTTTATAATAAACTCATCAGATAGTAACCAAGGGCAAGAAATTCAGTGTGATTTACTGATCTGAAAAGAAAAATTGGATTCTAGATACTCCTGACATCTAATCTCTGGTATATCTCATCATCTTAGAAACAGATATGCAGAAGCCAGATGTGCATATCCTAGTAATACTTGTACATGGTCGGCAGAAGTAGGAGGGTTGGGGTTCAAGGCTGGCTGAGAGAAAGAGAATATCAAGTAGTAGGCTAATGACCTTCCAGTTGAATCTATGAATCTATAGTCTCCTATTGTTTAGCATAACTATGTTAATGCCGTATTAGAAGTCTGAATCTGTCAGAAAAACCTGTTTTTTTGCTAAACACTAAAAAACGTCAATGACCTCAGAAAACAATGTGTTTGATAAGCTTCTCTTTATCTTGGTAAAACTTGCTAAATATCCTCTTTCCTGGTTGGAGCTTTTTTCTCTAGAGGTAATAGAAGGCCGGGAGTCTGATGCTATAGCTCTTATACCATTTGTGGAATATTCTAGCTCTGGAAGGTCACTTACTGTTTTTGGGGGTAGCTCACTGGGGGTAGCTCTGGGCATCAGAATCTTCAGATAAACTCACCAAGACACAGATATCTGGGTCCTGTATCTTCGTGATCCTTTCTCCACGAAGAACTGGCCACTTCTGGAGTTGCTAATTTTCAAGATTATTTCTAGGCCTTGAAATTATAGACTTTAACTTAGAAACTATTTATTATGTGTTCCTACACATGCCCCCCCCACTTGTTCACCTCATTTATTTCTGTAAGCTCTCTTCATTCTAATACTTACCAGTGATATGAGAATGTTTTAACTTCTTCTTAATTAAGAGACAGTGTAACAAAAGTACATTTCTGTGAATTACCATAAAATGAAGATACATGAGCAATCACTATTATACCTCAGGAAATGGAACAGGACCAACACAAGCGAGCCGCTCCTGCCCTGCCCAGTCACTCTGCATTCTCTCTCCATGGCTCTTTCTGCAGTGACACTTGTACATTCCCCAGGTTTCTGTTATCAGAGCATCACTGCAGCTCAATTTTCTGTTCTTTCATACATACACACATACTGAACTCTCCCTCTTACTTTTCTTTAAAAAATACACTTTATGTATCTCAGCATAATTTACATGTTAGATAACAGTATAATAGAATGATTTTTATGTGGCTTTAAACAGAAGGGAAAAAAAGGAAAAAAATTTATGGTTACAAAGCCCCCTGAGAACAATTTTTTATTGAATTTTTGTAATTTTCATACAATATAGTTTGATGGTATTTAGATCCTCTCCCCTATCTCCACTTCCCTTATTGCCTCCGACCCAATTTAATGTACTCTATTACATATATAATAGGGCCTATAGAGTCTAATTTGTGTCCCTATGTGTGGATTCATCAACTGGAGCCTGGTTAACCTACTAGAGACTGTCTCTACCCCTCCCAACAGTCATCAGTCACCAAAAACTCCTTAGGTTGGGTAGGGATTTCTTAACCCTTCCCCATGTCCATGCCAGGATTTTGTCTGGTTTGAGCTTGTATGGGGCTTGTGCATGCTGTCACCACTGCTGTAGGTTCATTTGTGTAACTGACCAGGTGTCTGGAAGACTATTTCTTTGTAGTCATCCACCACCTCTGGCTCTTACAATCTTTCCACTGCCTCTTCTATGATTCTTGAGCTTTGGGAAGCAGATGTTTGATACAGGTGTCCTCTTCAGGGATAAGCGGTCTGCAGCGTCTTGTTTTCTGCATGTTGACCAGTTGTGGGTTTCTGTGTTAATCACCATCTGCTGCATAAGGAGGCTTCTCTTATGAGAGTTGAGAGATGCATTAATCTTTGGGTATAATGATAAGACATTAGGAGTCAGTTTAATACTATAACTGCTTAGTAGAAAACTGGTGTTGGGCTGTCTCCTATGTCCTGTGACCTGTGTAGTCTCAGGTTCCTAAGCCTGATATTAATGTCAGTTATGGGCTCTATCCTTGGAAGTGGACCTTAAATCCAATTAAAGAGTGGTTGATTACTCAATACTGTGCCACTGTTGCACCAGTGGGCATATCTTGCCAGGCCGGTTATAGTTCACAGGATTCACAACTGGGTAAGACTGATGATTATTTTTTAGCCTCAGGTAGCATGTATAGCACCTTCCAACACTATGAACACTAGCCAGTAGAGATGAGGCTCTGAAGTCAGCACCCACTTGATTTCTCCTTGTTTGTTATATAGCTCATATATGTAGTGTCTTCAGCAGTAGGGTCTTACCATCTAGTTCTGGAGGGTAATCAAGAGCAGGGCAATGGCTAGTGTTGTTTGAGGTTCTGTGGGACCCCCGGTCAACTTAGCTTCTGGAGAGAGTCCATTCCTGGCATTAAAGTTTTCTTTTGTTAGCATATGATGTCTAGAAGGGGCATTGTCCCCCTGTTATAAGGTAATTCCTTTGAATCTCTTTTTATGATGCATATGTATGTACTTTAAGAAGCTTCTATAGTGGCAGGTTTCCATATGGCTTTTTCTAAAAACCTTTAGTGTTAACTTATCCTTCCCCATACTCCTTCCTCTGCCTTGCCATATACCATTTCCCACCTCGTAAGCCCTCCCCTGAGAACAATTTTTTAAAAATCACTTTTAAGTGGGTCAATGTGACAAATGTACAGTGACTAGTCATGTCTAGTTCTATTTCATTAATGGTTAATGGAATTAAAAAGAAAGCCCAACATTCACAGTCACCTGCTGCAAAGAAATATCATGTGTTCGACTCTTTTGGGATACAAAAATGATTCTTACTACTTCAATATGCAGAAAGTTGAAACTTTCCCCACACTTACACATACACATGAACACAGTAGAGGCTAGGAGCCACATATGAGGGAGAGGGAGAACATGTGCTATCTTTCTGACTTTGGGCTGCCTCTCTTACTATTATTCTTTTCAGTCCATTCATTTTCTTGCAAATTTCATGGTTTCATTTTCTCATGCCCAGGAGTGGTATAGCTGAGTCATATGGTAGTTCTATTTTTAATTTTTGGAGGAACTTCCAAACTGATTTGCCTAATGGCTATAATAATTTTCACTTCCACCAGCAGTGAATAAGAATTCCTCTTTCCCCATATCCTTTCCAACATTTGTTGTCATATTTCTTAATGATAGCAATTCTGAGTGTGGGCTATGTAATGTCATATTTCACAGAAGGTGTGGAGAAAGAGGAACCATTATCCGCTGCTGATAGGAGTGAAAATTAGTGCAACTACTATGGAAATCAGTTCGGAGGTTCCTCAAAAAAAATTAAAACTATAGCTACCATGTAACCCAACTATCTCAGTCCTGGGCTTATACCCAGAGAACTACATATCTTATTAAAGAAATATTTGTAACCCCACATTTATTGCTGCTCTAGTCACTATAGCAAGGAAATAGAACTAACTTAGTTGTCCATCAACACATGAATGGATAATGAAAATCTGGCATATATCAATGGAGTATTATTCAGCTCTAAAGAAAAATGAAATTCAAAATTTATAGCAAAATGTATGGATCTAGACTATATTATCTTAAGTGAGGCCACCCAATCTCAGAAAGTAAAAACCTGTGTTGTCCCTCATATGCAGCTCCTCGCCTAGAATCATGTCATCTGCAAAAGAGGATTGTTTGACTTCTTCCTTTCTGACTCTTATCCCCTTTGTCTTTCTCTTGTCTAATGGCTATAGCTAAGGCTTGGAGGACTTTAGCACAGGCTGGCCTTTAACTTGCAGTCTCCCTGCCTCAGCATCTGAAATTTTCTTTTACTTTCACCTAAAATTTAAATTTTCAAATAATTTTATATGTGATAAGCTACATTGTTCCAAGCTAAGTAATTAAATGACTGTTAATTGAACTGCATGATCCATTGAGACTTCACCACTTTCTTCAAATATTCTTTTATTATTCTAGGATCCAATTCAGGATACTGCATTCCTTCTAGATCTCCCTTATTTAAATTAATTTTTATCGGTCACATTATTGTTAGGAACTCACAGATAAAAACATCACACGACACAATTATGATAGCTACTTGCTCAGACCCAAACTCTATATGTCTCAGTGGATTGCTGTTCAGTTACAATGGCCATTCTGAAGCCATAGAGCATAGCTTAGAGTTTTACAATTTCATTATCAATTACATTTTTATGCACTTAACCACCACACACACACAAAAAAGAAGAACTGATGGATTTCAAACTAATGAAACACTGAGCTTTCCATCCTCTTTCACAGTTATGCATCTTGCCTGTATCCCATCCATCCTCATCAGATGATATTACCCTTTCTTGGTCTCCTTTCTAGGAGTTACAGTCCCCCCTTTAAAAACAAATTCATTCCTCTCTCCTCCTAGCCTGGGTCCTGGCCCGTTTCTTGTATTGGCACCCCAGACACCAGGGCTAACCTCTCAGCCCAAAGCCACCACTGCTTTCTGATCCTTTGCATCCAGACCAACCCAGTCCCCAGGAGACCTCTGGGCCTGGTCCCACCCACACCTCCCTTTAATTCCCTGGGCTGCACAGCCTTCCAGAGTCCTGGTGCCAGCACCTTTCCTGGTCTCCCAGAAGCCCTCTGGGCCTGGTCCCACCCTCATCTCCCTTTGTTTCCCTGGGCTGCACAGCCCCTGGTGTACTGGTGCCAGCACCTTTCCTGGGTAAGTCCAGAGGAGCCCACCACGCTTTGACTCCCCCAGTCTCATTCACCCTCCCAGCTCCCCTCCTAGCCTGGGTACTGGCCCATTTCTTGTCTTGGAAACACAGACTCCTGGACTGACCTCTAGGCCCAGAATCTCCACTGCTTCCTGATCCTTTGCATCCAGACCAGCCCAGTTCCTCCCAGTAGTCCCCAGGAGCCTTCGGGCCTCTTCCTGG